GTTGAATATAGCCTTTTTAAATATTATTTTATTGTTAATTTAATCAGAAGAGAAAGCAATTTTTTATAACTATCTTCTAAAAGCTAACATATTTAAATCTACATTAATAATACATAAAGTCCTACTAAATGTTGTTTTATTCAATATTTAATAATATAATAAAGTACGCCTAAGGACAATCTCGTGAACAACCAATCTTATACAGACGGTAGTGCAGCTCTATAGGACATTAAATAGACTAAAAATTTTTTATTTTGTATACATTTTCGCTTATATGTAAAAAATATTTATAATTATCTTTTTTTTTTATAGATTATCAATATTTAACTGTGATAATTATAAAAATCTAACTTATTGGAATATTAGTTATTTTACGTTACCTATTAATCTGAATTCGATAAATTAAAAATTAAAAAATATATGGATATTTAAGAGAACTAGATCAAAATTGTAAATACAAAATAAATAATTAATAATATAGGAAATATCAAATATCATTTATAATATCAAAAAAGGTTTAAATTGATAAAAAAAATTTTTTATAAATCATTCATTTTAAATTTAACTGCTTTAAAGCTATTATTAAAAAAAAATCAAGATAAGAATTATCAAACAATTATCAATATTATGACAATTCATACTCTCTTTAAAAAATAATTACATACGTATTAATAAATTATAGATTTTTCGATTACTGGTTGTGCACAAAGAATTGTAAAAGCAAGTGGAAATGGAGTTAATTAGTAAAAATTATGTGCAAATAGAATATAAAATAAAAATTCTGACTTAATTATGCAGAACGTTTGCTATATCTTAAATATACATGCATTTAAGGAATACTAAATCAAAAGAATAGGTTTTATACGAAATGCATAAACTGGAAATCGCATGAGCGTAAAGGTATCGCATAAAGGTAATAATAGAATAACAAATTCGGATAAGAAACAAAAATTATATTAGAAAAATAATTTTCGTTTCAATAATATTTTATCATTAAATGAAAAAATACATAAATACATTTTAATTTATATTGCAAACTTAGTGAATGTCTTTTATCATATAATTTATATTTGTCTATTTATACTTAACGCAATATTAATCTTAAAAATATTCATTATATTAAAATTGTTAAGGCATATTTTGACATAACATAATGACTTAGTGATTCAATCTGCTTGCGAACTTTGTAATTTACAAAAGATAATACCAGGCTAACATAGTAAATTTATTTTTATGTTTTAAAACTTTAAAGCATATGAACGGAAAATGTGTTTTATTTGAATAAGCAAGTGAATCGATCTTCATATAATCAGTAACTATAATAAGGAACAAGTAAAATCTATAAAGATTCATACTAAGAGGACGATTAAAAAATTTATGAAAACAACAACAGCTTTCAAAAAATAAAGTAAAATAAACTATAATTTAATGGAAAAAGTAGAACGTGATTAAATGAATACGGAAGGGAAGTATGATGACATTGTATAAAACAAATGTTATAATAATAAATATAATGAATCAATGATTAGTCTAAAATTTGAAAATAATAAATAAAGCAAAAAATAAACTTTCATACCACATATTAAAAACTCACTTGTAGTCAATAAATATGCCTAAAGTTGACTGACTTATGAAATACAATGTTTTTTAAAACACAATTTTGTAACAATGAATAAAGTATTAAGTTAGTATGAGGCATACATAAACATATATATACAGTAATAAATTTGTGTAGTGTAAATAAGCCTTCACCGATAAAAATTGAATATAATAAACGATTATCATAGAAAACTAAAACCTGATAACTGCTTATATTATGTCGATATACACTTATAAATTCAAAAATACAATTTAATTTAAACAATATATCATAATGATATTCATGATAAGTATAGTAAAGTATTATTATATACATAGCTATTAAAATTTATGAACGACAAAAATTAAAGCACTATTACTTTTTTTATTCAATTTCTTTTATGAGTAAGATATCAGACTTTATGAAAATAAGGAACAGACGGAATTTGAAATGTTATAACTTTAATATTGGTGAAGTGTAAACAATTGCAAAACTTTAATGTAAATTTAATTAAAATAATAGTAATAGTATTAGTAAAGTTCTGTTTTCAAAATATTCAATTTGTTTGCAATCATCAAGTCGAAGATAAAACAAAATATATGCATTAAAATTAAGTGCAAGTGAAAAGGTATGAAATTCTATTTCATACGACATTTCATTTTTCATTAATATTATCTGACATATTTTAATATATTATTAAAAAATAATTTTTAAAAATCAATCAATAATGATTTTACATATAAAATTGTATGTTTCTATATAGCCATAAATTTTTATAATTAAAATGTATATAGACTATTCAGAAATAAACTAGATACATAATAATTCATGAAAACGAATACTGAAGAATTATGAAATATCAAGATCCAGGTAATTATGTAATACAATAAATATAGGAACAACTTTTAATAGTTACTAGATAATGCAAGTTAGGATGGGACAAACAGGTAGTTAAATGAGAAAATGACGAGTATTACGCATTAAATTTCGGTGAGAAAAACTTAAAAGCAAAAACTATTTTACTTAAAAATAATATCAAACGTTATTTTTAAAAGTAATCGAATTAATGGCATCTTAATTTAAATAATATAATAAATATGTAAAAAAAAAAAAAAAAAAAAACAAATTGCCATATTATTAATAAAGTAATGAAGTTTCAACGCGTTATAAAAACTAATATGTCAATAGAGATGACGATAACAGCGGTAATAATAACAAGAATCATAATATTCGAGGTCTGAATATATGGATAACAAGAAATTATCGAAGTCAAATGAACATGGATTAATAAAACTGTTACATAAAAATTTATTAAAAATCTATTAAAAAGTAGGCAAATTAGTATGGGACATTGTAGTTTATATTAAACAGGTGCGCGGTAGCCAGCCTGTCATTCTTACTTTCACCAAAGTTTGCTCATTATATATAAATACTCATAGACGCGTGTAAGTATAATCGCTACTTACGTTAATCGAGCGGTTTCACTTTCAACGTATTGAAAGAATCCAATGAAAACACTGGGACTCGCACGAACCCGATAAACAAAAGGTTACGCAACGACGACACAGTGCTATAAGTCGAGTTGAACTCTGGCATCGGCATCGGCATCCTCGCATCGCGAATTTAAAAATAAAACGGGCTGCGCTACCGTGAGACAAAAAAGTCTCACTACAAATTCATTGCAAGATGAAGAAAAGAAGAAAATGGACTGTAAGGCGAATGTTTCTATTAAGCGCATGACGAATCGTAATAACCTTCCGAAGTCACTGTTCAAATGCACGTAGATAAATCACTTGTACATGCATGACCATGCGTAATGCAACTTCGTGTACTATTGACCTCGATAGGGCTACTGTTATTATACTTATTAAAAGTCATTATAATCAGCAAAGAATTAAGTTGTACAATAAATTGCAAATCTTTTGGCATTAGCTCAAATAAATCAACAGATAGGTAATTAGTGCCTTATCACGCTACTGTCTGATGTTTAATATTTTAATGTTAATCATCGTTAATCATCGTTAAAGAAAGAAATGTATATTCTTATCAATAAATTAATTATAATCTTTTATAAGAGGTTTATTTCAATTTTTAATAAGTGAGTCATCCTATGATTACACAATTCATTAAATTCTTAATATTTCCGGATGAAAATAACACTTAAATAAATGGGTTCGCAGAGTGTTAAATATTTGCATACTATGAACCGCAAACAAATATAAAAACAAAAGATTCCCAAGCTAATAGAAATGGTAATACATAGCCCAGTGTCTGTAACAATCGATAAGTAGAAAAAATAACATTATTATTGAATATATTGGACGATTTCGTTCTTGGTTTTCAAAACTTTTTAAACAAAATCATAATAGCGTGCATACTGAATTGTGTAATATTTGGACTTGCTTGATAAAAAAAAAGAATAAAATCAACAAACTTAATCCGGAAAACCGAATACAGATGCGGTGGATTGTGAAACAGCAATATCACAAGTTATAAAAGTGAATATTTACAAATCGAAACAAATCAGTTTCATGATAGAAAGCGTCCATTTATATGCATCTATTAAATAATGTCGCGACCATTTATTTGTATCATTATAACATTAAGTATTCTAAATAATTTCTTGTTTCATAAGTATTAAATGCATTTTAATAAATCCCTAATAGGCAAGCTATATTTACCATTTAATTAAATCGTCAATATTTAAATAGACCTTATTAGATATTTGCAAATATATTATATATATATATATATATATATATATATATATATATAATATATTTGCAAATAAACTTGGTGAAATAGAATTAAAGATTGACTGTACTTCCAAAGTAATTCCAAACATTCGAAATTTCTATTAAAAATAATTCAAGATAATGCTTTATACATATTCCAATGCAGTCGAAAGACTATTCTTTAGGCGAGTTCTTCGAGGGCAGTTAATCAATACAAAGGATACCCACAATCAGCTTATCTTTTCGAAAAGCGATGAATATTCGAAACCGTTCGCTTCATCCAAAGAACACAATGCAATAACAAGCATCGGACGAAACGGAAAGGCTAAAACTTTTCCACCCCAAAAATGCAAACATTTTTAATCTTTCTCAATTTTAACGACTATATCTACGCTCCCTGTACAAATTACCACCTGCAATTCAACGAGCATTAGTTCATATATAAGACGAGCCAACTCTCCGTATTATGGGCAATCATACGTACTCGATATTCGAAAAAAGCCATCCTTTTCAATTATCACTCTAAGCACCATAAGCTATAGTCACGCGCGTACTCTAACCCACCTACCCTTCAACCTACACCCAACGCACACACGCGCTCTCGCACACACCCACATGAACTTACGTGTCGCATATAAACACGCATGTAAACTTAGTATAAAAAATAACATGTATTGGTGACGAACCTGCAGGTGTATCGGAACTTTCTTCACCGGTGTACTCATGTCGACCGGCTGGGACGTGCGCAGACACGGAAGCGGCACGAGATCGAAGTCGGGCGCGGACGACGCAGGCGCGCGCGCCAAAACTATGCGCGTCGTTTATTTGTATGTGTACACGAGTGTACGTGTGTATGCGCACGTGCGCGCGTATATATATATATATATATATATATATATACGTTCGCGTATGTGTGTGTGTGTGTATGTATGTATGTATGATGTATGTATGTATGTGTGTATATATATATATATATATATATATATATATATATATATATATATATATATAAATATATATATACGTATGTATATACGGATTAAAGTGTATATCGACAAGATAGAAGTGGATGATGCTTTTGCGAGTACTGAAATTGATTCTTCAACACAGCGACCCCGAATCCTTAACCCGTCTCTCTCTTAGTCCTTTTCGGTATAAGAACTAGACCACGCCGCCCGGTGTTTTTGCTTTTTTACATACGAGCGTTCCGAGTCAATGTAGAACTCTATACGTAACGTTTTCTACGGGCACTGGCGATCGACTGCCGCGCCAAGCACTGCGCGCGCGCGCTATTTTCCGTTTGGATTCTCCCTCTCTCTTTCTTTTTCGCGCGCCTCACGCGAAGGTAATGACTGTCTCTCTCTCTCTCTCTCTCTTTCTCTCTCCCTCTCTTTCTCTCTCTCTCACACACATTTCTCCCCCTCATTCGCCCTCTCTAGTATCCTCCCCCCACCCGCCCACCCATTTACTGTGCGTATGCGCGCGCACTTGTGGATGGAGAATCCAGTAAATTGAACGTGGACAGAAGAGTCGATGTCAGCTCTCCAATTATTAATCGAGGGAATTCGCCAACAACATCGAATTTAATCGATGTTCATCGCTCAATCATTATCTACAAACGATAAGAAGAAGCCGGTATTATTATTAATGTTAAAGATAAATTATTGTTAATATTTCACCTACATATTCTACTATTTTCAGTTGCTTCTAAGCTGAAAAAAATTAATTTAAATACAAATGACAGATTGAAGCGTGGATTCATCTTTATAAAAAAATTCAAATCAATTCAACTGTACTATTATTATATTATAAAATTATCTATTATTATATATATATATATATATATATATATATATATTATAATATTATTATAATATTATAATTATTATATATATTATATTAAAATAAAATTTTATATTTACATGAATTCAATATCGACTTAAATTTAAGAATTTTTTTAAAAAACTAGCATATATATATACATCTATTTACAAATCAATATAACGTAGACCATTAAGTTTTTTATACGTTCCTCGTTGTTTCAATAAAAATATGACAAAATAGTTCATTTTTACAATTACACAAAATATCAATTTAATTATTAGAAAGATCGATTAAAAATTGAGGTAAAAAAAAACTCATTCCGTACAATACACTGATAACTATCATGTGATTTATAACGTGTATTGTATATAAACATTTTCATGGTATTAAATGAAAAATAATACATTGGATTGATATATATATATATTATACTCTTAGACTTTAGAGAAAAGGCATAAACAATCCATAAAACCTTTTATTTGAAAATAAAGATGTTTGTACTTATTGTTGTAAAATAAGTATAGAACTATTCTTGTTTAAATGTTTTTAAAATGTTTTACTTGAAATTGCTCCATAATCTTATTTAAATTATTAATTTATTACACTTATTTAATTATGAATTTTATTATATTATTTTTATTGCAGTTGAATTTTTTATTAATCATACGATTATAGTATCATCGAAATATTAATTAACTTCTTGTTTACTATGTTTAAATAAATGTTTAAAGTTGATAAATAATAAGGAAAATTTTTAAATTAACAGGGATAAATATAACGCTTAAAATATTCGAACAAGATTGGAGGAATAAGATCGTGAAAATGATAAAATTGATGAAATAAAATAATCAAATTATCTACAATATTAAGTATAGAGTTGAATTTTATTAATTTCTAATGAGATGGAAAGTTATTAGAGTATAATATATAATAATGATATAATAATGTATTTTATACAGAATATCAAAGGTTTTGCAAAATGTTTAAAAAATTTTTATCATTTTAAATAACATTTTAAATAAATCATTTTAAATAAGTTTTATATAAATACATATAAATAGATATTTAATAATTTACGCTTAAAATATTATTTATTATAAAGCAAAAATTGAGCTCAGATGAGCACGATGATTATGATAAATTAATAGATATTAAAAGTCTTTGAAATAAAGCCTGCCGACTTTCATAGATATTACTTTTTTTAATCATAAAAACACTAAGATATTGCTTTTGAAATAATTTTACTTTAAATTTATATTGTATAGTTTGATTGTGACATTCATATAACTACGCAAAAACTCAGAAGGAATAGCTAGTAATATCAAAATATATAATTAATTCATTTTAAAAATGTTTGAAAATAGAAATAATGAAACATATAATTTACTTTTTTTCAATGGTTAAAAACCGAATTTGTCTAGTAAATAGATTATGGTTGATACATAAATATGAATATATCTTTAACAAAATATATGATTTATTTAATTTTCAATTATTTATAAAATATTAAAAATATTAAATATATTCTACATTAACAAATGAATATAATATCATTCATAAAAGCAAATTAGAGATATACTTTGATAAAAATTATTATTAAAATCAATTTTTCATTATATGAAGTAAAGTTTATTACTGTAAGACAATCATATGATATTTTGTACTGAAAAATAAATGTTCAACAAAATTAAAACTTAGCATTTATAATTATATGGATTATGAATATTAACTTGGTTTCTATTAAAAAAACATTTAAAAAATTTACACCACAATATTATTTTTATTAACTTGAATTAATAATGTACTTTTATTAATAATGCAATAAGACCATGTATTTCTTAATTTATTTGATACATCAAATTGCTCAAATCAAATTTAATAACGTATAATTCGAAAAATTTTCAAAATTTTAATAAAAAATTGAATATTCACAGCTGCATTATATTAATATTAAAAATACTATGAATAACTTTATAAAATTTCCACTATTTTATTAATTATATTTTTATTTCTTAATGTAAAATATTTATTACAATATTTTAATATACTTCAATTTTTAAAATCTATCAAAAGCTAATAAAAGAAAGTAATTTTCTAATGGCATAAAATGTTATTTCAAAATATTTTATATAAAATATCTTCATGCAAAATGAAATAAACATTTTATAATTTATAATAAAACTGGAAATTCAAATTGTACTAATTTTATTATATCAATCGAAACTTATACATTATTGAACCTTGATAACGGAAAAACTATGGAACAATAACAATATCATTGTAGTATATTACATAAAATAGTGTATTACATAATGAATCATTAATATTACTATCTGTAACTATCAAATAAAATGTGCAACGTACAGTAGTCAGTACATTTAATCACATAAAGAAGGGAAAATATAATAAAATATGATAAAATATAGACTCAGTGTGTTTACATTAGTGGCAATGGTATTTGTTTGTATGTACGTTGATGTATTCATTATGCATGTAGTAACGTTTGACATATCTCATTCGTCTCCCCGTATGACACGATTTTATTCGCTATTCACAAATTAAAAAAAAACTACTTGTGAGCTACTCTGAATTTTTGTTATGTTTAAATGGAAATTAATTCTCTCGCTGCATATAATGTGACATGTTTTCATGTATTTTCTTTGAATTTAGAGAAGGGTTCACTTCTATGAACCAAAAAATAGCATAAAAAAATAAAAAAGAATCCATTTATATGCACATTAAAATTTTCAAGTGTCAGGTCTGAGGGATGAATTCTACAATAATTAATTAGATCATTTAATAAAAGATATATTTAGCATAAATGCATTCCTTTTTTGTTTGAAAATACTTGGTATATATAAGTTATATAAGTTATATAAGTACAAATACAACAATTTTGAAAGTTTGCCTATATTAATAATATACTGAAGAATGATAAGGACAAAAATTTCAATATTCAAGTAACTACAAGTTAATTTAATTTTTATGACAATATTTTTTTAATATTAAATGAAAAAAATACTTATATTTACGTATTTATATATTTATATATGACTATAATAATGAAAATTTTTTTTAATTTACTTTCAATCCTCGTTTATAAAATAAATGAGATTTAAATAAAATATGTAAATTCATTTACATAATTTTACAAAAAACTATTTCATATTGTTATATGTATATTTCTAATATTATTGTACTAATATATTATGAGTATATTATAAAATTGTATTATCTGAAAAGTGAATATAAATTATGTAAGTGATAAAATGACTAATTTTATAATTATTTATATTAATACAATAAAATATTCTAATATTGTATTATAAAAAATAATTTGATTATTTCTTATCCTGAATTTATAATGTATTTATAAAAAAGTATCGCATAAATAAGAGGGTATTATTCCAATTATTTGTTGAAAGAGATATTAATATTATGTACCTATCAGTAATATATTCAATATTTTAGGAATTTATATCAGATTTAGAATAATATATTGTTTTGATTAATTATAATCTTTTGAATTAAATTTTGAAATACAGTTGTTAATAACATATCTCTATATCTTATGATATATTGAGTTAGTAATTCAATTTTAATCAACGTTAATTTTATTTGCAATTGGTGTTACTACAAATTACAAATTAAAGATTTATAAATTTCAACCGTGACTGAAATATACAAGTTACGTCAAATTACATAGTCAAAATAAGTCCAATGGAATAAATTTCATTGAAATTTTCAACTTTTCAAAGGCAGAAATCTGCAAATTGTAATACATAGACTTAAACATAAGAAAAACTTTTCACATTATGTAATAATATTATTTTTATGTCTTAAAAAAAAAAGACATACGGCATTTATGCAAGTGTTCACTCGAGCATTATTCATACATGAACACAAAAATCGCAATATACTTTTTACTTGCTTACGAGACATATGCTCTTTTCATTCATCACGATTTTTAAAGAGATTTCCCTCGTTCAGCGATACATAAAAAGTTTTTC